GAGCTGGCCCCGAGCCGGGCTGGCAGCCCCTTGCTTTGGGGAGGAGGAGAGCGGGGCTACAACCCCCGAGCGGAGCTGGCCTCGGGGGGAGGGCGAAGGCCAGCAGACCCCAACTCCGGCGAAGTGCATTAGGTGGAGGAAGTATATCTCTAGCGGGGAGCAGATTGAGTGTATTAAGCTAGCATGAAACCAAAGGTCAGTGCAAATGTATCTTAATAGACTGTCTCAAATGGAGTGTGCCTCCTTTGAAGGCCGCTTGCTATTGCTCTCCTCATTACCATAGCGATCCTAACGTGGCATGCTGATGCACCATAAAACTCACACTTTCAACCCCAAAATCAGGCCCTTTGAACAACCCGAGCTTGATTAGACCTTTCTCCTTTTCTTTTCCCCCTTAAAAACCATTTCCTTGCCTTTAGAAACTCGCCCTCAAATCCCAAACGCATTCTCTGATCCCGGCAGAAAGCAGAAACAAAAGTGAGCTGAGGCGACGGTTCAAGCGGGCCTTTTCTTCCTGACAGTCTTATCCATTTTTATTATGGTCTGGAACAAGTGCCCTGTTCGCGTGGGTTTTGTTTACCGGAAATTAAATGAAAATGATTTAGTTCGCGTCAAACAAAAATATATACTTGTATACACAAGAAAAAGGGCCTGTTAGACGTAAATATTATGTCCTTAATGAAAAGACTGGACGGGCTCCAGACTTCGCCTTTCACTATTTAAGTATGACTTGCCTATTGCCATAGAAATCCTAACTTACCATGAAGATTCACCGTTGTGAAGAAATACTTCTTTGTGCGAGCTTGCTTTGATGTCTAAGGCATAAGATTCAGGCTTTCAGCTGCGTCTGTCTAGATTACCTTGAGAGCAACGGGGTAGACATCTGTAACAAGCAAATGAAAAATTAAAGGTGATTAGCCTGCACGTCCAAATACTTCTGTAAATAGAAAAATAAAGAAATAAACAGATCTCAGGACACGATGGAAGCACCCTCCCTGCCCGCAGCTGCCTTCTGTACCTCTCGATTTCCACGACACAAGTTTCAAGGGCTGCAGAAGGGCACAGTTTTCCCCTACTTTAGGCTCCTCTCTCGCACATTTCTCCCACCTAGGTAATGCCCTACGTGTATTCCCGGTAGCGACACGCTCTTGTCACTATTCGAGGTGTTTAAATGCACAAGTTGTCGAGTTTGGGCGAGTGAAGAAGGGACCCCCGGCTTGCTGCCTTGGGAGGAAAATAAAGCCGCATTAGCAGAGGAGGCGCTGGGCCGGGGGGTGGGGGGGTGGGTTAGCCACTGACCAGCTATTCGTTTGCCGTAGCTTTATATTCAGATATAAACATATCGTATATAAACGTATATAAACATATACGTGCGTGCGTGCATACGTGTACAGCTGTAGACACACGCTAACCCCAGTCACCTGGGTGCAGAGGTGATGCAGCAGACACGAGAAGATGCGGTTACAGCAGCCTTCTGTCTGCGCTCAGCAAGCCACGGAAACCTCTTCCAGCAGCCCGTGCTATTTATTTGCCTATACTATCTGGTATTCTTAAACATCATTAAAGTAATTAAAACGGCACCATTCGGCAGTTTCAAGCTACCCCAGTGGAGGGGTTTGTTTATTTATTTTTTTTTTTCCCTTTCCTTCTTTCTCTGAACCAGAGGAGTGAACACTGTGGCTTTGCGTTGGGTCTAGTTTGAAGCTCCGGGGCGGGATGAAGATGCTAAAGCCGCGTTGCCGGGCCGGTACAGGCATTTATCATCGGGATTGTTCGCAGGGCGGACGCCGTGGAGCTGCGGCCGCGGGTCCCCGCGCTGCCGGGGGGGCTGCCCGGCCCCGGGCCCGGCCCCGGCCCTTGCCGTGACGTCACCGAGCGGGGTCTGCCCCCCCCCCCCCCCCCCCCGGGAGCCTCAGCGCCCACGGTTCAACAGGAGCCACGCTCCGGGTGGGGACGGGCATGTTTGGGTATTAGAAGTCATTACCAGTGGGAGCTAAAATGGACAGTCAATCACCTCACCCCCCCTGGGCCTTTCTTTATTAGCGACTACTGGGAAGGGGAGGGGGGGAAATATATATATATATGTATTTGTATACGGCAAGAGGGAAAAGTAAGGAGATTCTTTACAGACACGTCCATCGAACGGGTTAATTAATCAAAGAATTTAATGGATCCATTTTGTACAGTTCGGTAACAAATAATAGTTTATATATATATATTTCTTAAAAAACCGCACTCTCACAGCAAATCGTGGGCGAACAGAACACTGCAGCACACGGCACTGGTGACAAGAGAAAATCCGTACAGCCAAAATCTGTCTGAAACCACTTTGGTCCTCCGGGGAGGGGAGGGGAAGAAGGGAAGGGGATGCAAATCAGCGGGCTCGTAACCAGCCCGGAGCGGGGCGGTCGGGGCGGGGGCGGTGTGTGGCCCGGAGCGGGGAGGCGGCAGCACCCCGGCCGAGGCGGGAGCGGCCCTCCCGAGGGCGAGGCGCCGGCGGCGCAGGCTGGGGCCCGC